AAAAAATGTTGAGGAATTTGAAAAAGAAAAAGAAAAGGGATGGAAAGTGAAGAGGAGATGAAAATCAAAAGCTCACGGTCATTTGCTTATCAATGGTTTATTTTCAAACAGATTGTGAAAAGATGTAGTACATTTTTGCTCAGAGTTGTTAATGATGCTTTACTGGGTATTGCATCTGTTGATTGATCAAACAAGAAATAAATACTATCTCAGATGTTTAGAGAAGAACCATTAGAGTAGAGTACGGTCGATACTTTCAAATTTGGCCCTCGTAGTTTAGTAACAGGCAGATGAGCGATGAAAATGTCGAGAGGAACTCTGTATAATCAATTGCTAAAAACTTTTAGATAAACTGATGCTGAATAACGTGGCTGCAGAAAGGTGCGTCAGATGTTTATTGGAAAGCAAGTCGTAAAGTAACCTTTTTTTTTGTCAAAAATTTTTATTGTCAGAGATCACAATTGGTTTCATTGTGCATCCTGAAAACAATTTCACATGATTTTGTCAATATGCACTAATGAAAAGTTTAGAGTTAAAGGTACTATTTTACTGTTTATCAAAAGAGGGCCAGAAAAATTGCAGCTAAATCTGGGTTTTATGTTTGCTATTGGACTTAAAGATGTAAATTGTTGGCTGACTAGTGGAAAAAAAAGTTTGAAAAGAAATGCAGATGTAATAACTGGTGATTTCCCAGTGCTCTTTGGGTAGCAAAAAGTTTTTGTCTGGCACTTATATCAAAGTAGAAGCTGTTGATAACTTATCAACATCTTACAAGTTAAAACCAAAATTTTCTACTTTCTCAACGACTGTTTTAAGTTTATCTGCTATTCAGTTCTCAAAGTATATATGATACTTGGCAGCTATCGTTATTATAGAGTTTTTATGTCAAATAAGTATCATTGTAATCAAAAGCTTAGTATTTCAGTTTATTCTTTAGTTCACATCAATAAAACATTTAAAAAAAGTGATTGACAGAATACAGGTGAAAAGATAAAAAAGCATTTGATAAGTCGAACAATTCTATAAGGAACAACTGCAAAAGACAGTTAAAATGTGGAATGGAAAAAGTAAGCAGCAGTAAGAAACAACAAAATAACAAATAAAATAAATTGAAATTTTACTTTAGAAATTGAATTGTATAAAATTACAGCTGATAATTGATTGATGGATGAGTGCAGACAGACCAATAAATTTAGAACTGCAATTTAATTCTTATTCTCTTTTTTTTTTCCTTCCACCTGACACTTCTCCTTCTTTAATTTTGGTTAGTTTGAAAAAATTT